CAGTTGGATCAACCACTTGCCTCATACGCATCACATTAAATTAAAAACCGAACACTATGTCAAAAAATCTCGAAATTTTATTGAAAAGATCAAAAGAATATAAATAGATCCAGATGATATCCTAGTGAGCTTTGACGTGATCTCGTTACTTTCAAAATTATTAATTAAAGAAGCTTTGGGAGAACATCAAAAACTCATTGAAGAGCAAAATTATGGTAAATTAGTTGACTTGTTTTATGAACCAACATCTACATTGAAGCATTCGAGAAGAAAGCCTTGGGGTCAAGTCAAAGGCCAGTGTTGGTTGAGATATGCTGACGACACATTTTATCTAGCCAAGGATATATGCAACCACAAAAAGGGATTGTTAAACTACATCAGTAGAGTACATCTGGATATTAGCTTTACCAAAGCGATGGAAGAAAATAGTACCCTAGATGTCCTTGTCAAGAGAAGATCAAGCAAAACTCTAAGACATAATACTTAAAACATAAAAGTTCCAAATTTCAGTACGTTACGTATATTACTTTTCATAGGGAAATACTTTTAATTTTTTTATGAACTATTAGAGGTACTTCTAATATTCAAGGAAAGTTGTTCTGATTGTCCTCATAATAAAATTGATGTTATTATTTAAAGCAAATTACTAAAAATAAATATCACTTGTACTGTTTGATGTCTGATTGTTACAATGTTTGTTCTGACATAAAAATGTTGTCTGAGACATTGTAAAATGTGATTTTATTTTTATACTTATATTACAAAGATGCAGCTAGACATCACTTCATAAGCAACAACTCGTAAATAGAAGCGATGCTTTTCAAACGTGTATAATAAATAACTACTTAGACATGTGTTTAATATATTTTCATTTGCATGTTGTAAATCTACTGTTATTTACAGCAAATAAAATAGGACTAACTTTGTCAAAAATGTTAAACACCTTAACAATCATTATATAAAAAAGAAGTGAAAATCTATTTAGTAAGTTTTCATTACATTTATTCTCAAGATAAGCCCTATGATAAGATTACATTAAACACAACGTTCTGTTCGGTGTAACCTTTCACGAGATTATATTCAACCAATCAGCGATTGCTTTATCTCGCCAAATCTAGGGAAAATTCTATGATTGTTTCAGAATTACAATAATGTATTTGGCATATTGCTGAAGTTTAAATAAATTTCATGATTACCTGATGTTTTTGGGTTATTTGTTTGTTTTTCATATAAATCAACCTGGCTATATCAAATGGGACAATCAGGTAACTACTTAATTATTTCCTTTAATTATATTATCTTTCAATCAGTATGAAAACGAACTAGAAATAACATTTTAAATTTGCATAAATTAGTATTTTAATCCAGCGCGATATTAAATTTAACGGAATGAATTTTGTATGGTTCGACATCCACCTTAGTAGTATAAATAGCCGTAATATATTTCAGATTATTTTATGCATGGATATTTTGAACCTTATATCAAAAATATATTTATGTACACGAAACAACTTAATAAATGTTGTTCTTTTTCTTTCTGTTTTGTCTAAATTCTCTACTTGCAAATTTTCTAAGAAATATAAAACGATATGATAACATTTCCAAAAACAATATTTAAACTTTCTCTACGAAATCATGAATATTTCATGCACTATATTTAAAAGTTAAATGGTATTTTTGAAAGTAACTAGAACAACTACCCACTTACAGTATCGGTTTTTCTGCAATGGAAAGTCTGACCAATCTAAAATATTTATGTCACCCTATGGCACTATCACGTGCTAGAAAAATTCTTTTTTACTATAAGTACTGAAATATATGTTAAGGTTATGAGCGAGAAACACATATTAGTATACAAAATAAAGGTTAGAATAAGTCAAGAATTCTAGATAATATGTTAACATAATTTTACAGCAACTTCTACAACAAACTTTGCAACAGTTTAGATAGAGACACGTGCTATAACAGGTTATATTTGCTTTGTATACTTAAATTCATTTACCATATTCATTCATTTTAGTAATTCTTTCGAGATATTTACTTACTGCTCACTATGTGTGCTTTATTTTACATTTATGAGTAGATATACAAAATTAACAAACATACAAAGAATTCTGTGAGTACTTAGGCAAATCAGTAACATTTCTTCATGGATTTCACTAAATCAGACAAATTAAAGACGTCTGGGTGCCAGTAAATAAAAAACATATAAACATGGCAAATTATGACATACACTGACTTGACATATTAGTTTAGTAACTACATAGGTAGGTACTTAAGTATAATCTAATAGATTTATAAGTTGTGTAAGTCTGACTGCTTCATTTCAAATTTAATAATTTCTCTATTTAAAAACTTAACAGTTCATGATTAGGAGAACTAGCTTTAATTTTATTTCAAGTTTGATCTGTTTGGTTTCATAATATTCAATTCAAATAGAACTAGTAAAACTGATATTTTAACACAATTTTTGTTTTTGAATGATCTAAAAATTATTCTAAAACAGAAGAAAAGTGTACGAGGAGGGTATTCTTCAGAATAATGACATTCCACATGGTAGTTCTCCAAAATTGGATATATGAGGAAATTTAGATCGAGTCCTTTATCGCAATATTCAGTCACGTCGTTCAGAAGTCTACATCAATAGAAGAATAGTCCATAGTTTGCAAGAATCAGGAAATAATAAAACATGAAACATTATTTTAATCCACAGAATAGTCATGTACGAAATGAATGATAGAATTAGGTGATCACTTCTTCATCATTCACATTGGTATCGAGATTAATGAAAATTATATATCAAATAATAATTTATGACATATTTTAGATGAACTCTACATAAAATTCGGATGAAATTTCATTAGTTCATCTTACAAGACGAGACATCTGCCTCAGACTTCTTTTTCTTTCACTTTATGTTCTTCTAGGTTCTGGTGTTTTTCCTCATTAGAAACCTGCAACACTTTTTAAATCCATAAGTTAATTATGTTCGTTTATAAAGAGATTCTTACATATCTAAATATTTCATTAAAATTACAACCAAAAATCATTTGCAACGAATTATTGTTTGAACAAAATAAATGTAGTGAAATATCTTTTTGATGTATTTTATAGAGGTTTGAAGTAAACGTACATTTCTTTCGTGACATAAAACATGCTATAGGTAATTATATTACATCGAAACCATAGGTAATTTCTTCAGTTTCCGTTTCAGTTTTGCAAAAAAATTAATCCGAGCGACTGGAACGTCTTTGAAACCCATTTATATTTCAGAGAGAACTTATTCCGTCGACCTTTAAGGAAAGCATTAAACTGTAACCATTAGATCGTACCTAATTTGACAAACGTCACTTACTTTACATAATTGTCGAGTGTATCGTAAAACCAACGTTATACACGAAATCTAATGTATGTGCATTTTCGCTGAAGGTGTGAAGATTCCGACTTGGCGGGAGAGGTAATGGCACACCAAGAGAGGGGAGAGGAACTGAGATAGAACACTGGTCCACCCACGTGCACACTTGACAGCTCCACACAGCATTCGGGCCACTATTTTCATGAAGCTGTTCTGCAAATACGAGCCGAACGGCATTGGGCACCGGTCAACTCGACCAGCTTCTCCAACAAACACGAATGTACGTCAGTACGAAGGAAAGTGCACCTGAAAGAGTTTAGTTAGTCGGATCTATTTCTTCTGTAGGAAAGATATGTGTAAATTGTAACAAACATTTGTTTATCATTTTGGAACCTATGCCTTTAGTGTAAACTTCATCAGGCGTAACAAGTTTAAATTTATTTTTATTTTAGAATAGTATTACTAACTCTAGAGAAATATGTAATAGGAATAAACAGTTATAACTACGAAAGTAATAAACGCCAGTCGTAAATACAAATTTAGAAATCTAAAACTGAAGAAAAATATAATATAGTTAGGTTTAAATATAAAAATATAATAAAACATTTTAAAATTCTTAAAGTAAGTACAAATGTTTTTTAGAAATATAGAGCTCATCAGATTCACAAACATTATATTTTCTTGCCAAAACTTTATTATGTGCAATTGTAACTATTTGTTCTAAATACCTGACCTAAAATTCTTCTGGAACATATCTAATTGATGTATTAGTAGTACTGACAACTTTATTCCTTATTTATTGAACTAAAAAAGTTATATTTTGTAACATAAAACTAAAATAAAAACACTAGGATATAATCTAGATCCGGTAGCATCTTATAGATCAAATCTCCCGCGTTTTTGATATAAATGACCAACTGAGTAGAGTTGATTCAGCCGTAAGCAGAACCATGTCAAAAACGCTGGAGCGTTTATCGTCAACAGCAAAGAAATCCTCCTAAGTTCAGGTGACACGACTTCATTATTCATAAAAGAACTAATTAAATGTGCTCTAGAAGAACTTCATCGAAGGCTCGTCACAGTCGACAGTGTTAACTAGATGGATCTTTCCATCCTTTAGGGGTAAACAAATTGAAATTACTCTTGTAGCAAATATCTACGTGGAAGTATTCGAGAAGAAAAGGCTGGAGCCAGCATCTACAAAACCAAAGTGTTGGTTCGGATATGGAATATTTATCCGATAAGATTAAGTAATACCAAAGTTTCAGAAAACTGAAATAATTGCATGAGAGATGAGAACATAGAATTACCACGAATTTGAAAACGACTGATCTGCAAAATCGAGACCAACACTTCAAAACTATGCGTAGGAATGATATAAACCAAAACATTCAGCAAACGTAATTTAATACAATGTTCAAAGTACTTGTACTTTTGAATGTTAGAAATTTTAAATAAAAATATATGGGGGCTGGTAGGAAAACGACTTTCTAAAATATGAATTTAAAATCTGGTTCATATTTGGAGATCCAAAACAGCGTGGGGGAATTTGCCGAAGCCGCAAAGCCCGCCCTGAATGAAAACCTACACATTCTTAAAGTATTTACGTGATTAATGCAGTAAATTGAGGCATGCACGGCAGAAAGGAGACATTTTCTGCTAAGCGGATTGTCTCTTTGGAATCTCTTCGAAAAATTAGCGGAAGCCGAGTAGACTAGTGGCCCAAGCTACTTACCATGTACCTAGTGTAATTGTGTGCAAGTCAAAGTTATCGTTAACGACAGGCGTCGATAATTGTTGATGTGTCCGAAAATGTAGCAGTGAAAAATTCTAACTTCGTTATTTTGTAAACATAGTGCTCGTGGTGCGCGTAGGTATCGAAAACTGATATAGTGCGCGCGTGTGAATTCAAAAGTGTGTTAAAAATAGTGATTTTGCTAGTGACTGGCTGATCGTGACATCATGGCAGAATGATGATATATTATTATGGATTACTTCTTGAAGGTAAGCCGACTGCATTCATAAATGATCATCTACAACCAGACATTTAAAATTGCGAAATCTTTTCATTTGAACATAAAAAATATAAATATAATTGAAGGTAACGGTATAGGAACCATCTTAGTTTTTATATAAATAAAGAAAACTCTGGCTACGTATTATAATGGTATTATAAAACTTTTAAGTGTCCAAAATTACATTGAAGCATTTTTGCTGTGCGTAGATGGTTCTGAAACATACAGAAATAAAAAAAAAACAGTAAAGACTAATATCAATGTCAATATAGTCTTAAAGGGAATGATACTATTATATTACTTAAAACTACATACTACTTGTAATTCAGAAACCAACTTGCCCTAAAAAATAAATAATTTATCGGTTTCCCTTTACTCTTCAAAGGGATTTGCTGATATTCACTACAATTATCTTATCAAAACTTGAATCACTGCCGATGTAGAAAGTTTACAAGTGAAGCAGTTATGATAAATTTGCTCAAACTCAAAATTTGATGAGCATTTATGAATAACATTTTTAGAAGGATATGTGGAATTTAATACATATTAACAAGTCTCGTTCAAGACTTTTAGAATTACAGCATCTTGAATACATAGAATAATATAAAACAAGTTTAATTTATAAATGCAGAAATAATAATATATCTTATATGAGATGTGTAAAGTACATTTGTGCGTACCTATTTTTTTTAAAATAACGGATGTATAATAAAAAATTTTAGAAGGAATGATTTCTATTGCTAGATGAGTAATCAAAGAGATATTTTGACCTGAACGATTTGGAATGAATCAGACTTAGGAAGGTGAGTTTGAATAAATTTCAAACTGATTCTACTGTAAAAAATTATAATTTGAAGAAACAACTAATACATACACTGATAGAACTGTAAGAAGTTTTTGTAAAACACTGTTTGTAATAGACGTTCGATTAAGTACAAGATAATACTTACTAAAAAAATATAGGCCATAATTGTGACAACTTGTAGGGCTGATTCTTCTTTTAAAAACAAGCCAAAGTTGTAAGACAAATATTTTATAAGATGTAGACTTGCAGTTCTCTTACAGTAGCTGCTTTCATGTAAAATTTCAACAAAACTCAATCATGCCAGAATTAGAAGGAATTTGAGGAGTTTCAACTGTCGTAAAAAGTTATTTACATTTACAGATTTGGGGGGGATAATTTGAAATTAAAAAAATTGTGCCACTTAAAATCTCTTGGTCGGCAGCAGTACATTATTTTGTTTCAATTTATTGACTATAGAGGTTTCCAATCGTAGAAAGGTTGAATTTATTCGTCTTTCCCTTATTTCAAATAAATGCGAGTGGGTTTGTGTAAAAATTTCTGATTTTCATTCCGTTAGTAACAATGTTTCTGACTTTGCCATAATTTTTAAACTTAAACTAACTGACCAGATTTCTGATGAATTTTTTTTATCAGAAATTAACGTTTTATCAGTCAAGATTGGAAAATGGACATCGGGAATCGGTAAAAACAGTTAGCGATCCCTGTTTCCCATTTGTATACCGATTTGTGGTAAATATTATGTCACATAAAATATAATAATGTTGTAATTTCACCAGTTCAAAAGTTAATCCTCAAATTCGGATCCAGATTTTAAAGCGAGATAGAAAATGAAATTCCACAAGAAAGGCTGAAAGCAAGCATGAAGACGACATACGATACTTTGCTGGATACAAGATGTTGTACATACATGGTGTTTATGACTTGGTGTCCAGAAAAGATCCGAAGGTGAAGAAATCCCTTTGGCTTAGTTTATTGAAAAATCCCAAAAAACTGACCTTTTCAACATTATGGAAACATAAATCCATGCTGGCCATAATAAAAATGTGCACATTTTAAGTGGATTATGGTTACAAAACGAATACCACCGGATTATTTATTGTAAATTCAGAGAGTTTTGCAACTTTAATGGTTTTTAAAAAGTCATGATGGATGTATATTATCTTCCATCGTAGCGGAAGATTACCTGAAAGATTCTGTCTAAAACAAAGTTGATGTAGCAAAGAATATTCAAGCGGCATGTTCCAAAGAAATACAACCCATTTTTGTTAGTACCACAACAAAAAGTATGATAATTTCCAGCATTTTGGACAAATCTTCATTTCATTTGAAAGCTAACAATTAAAATTATTGTACATTTAATATAATTAATACGAAATGATTTATTTAGTTAGTTATTGTTGTTTGTTATAATGTAAAAATAATAAAAAGAGGGGTTTGTATCATGCTTGCAGGTTTCTCCTGTCTACTAGTCTCGACCTGCAATACTCCACTTTCCGATCGTGTAACGTAAAACTATTTTGAATACGTTGTCTGTAATTATTTATTTGTGGCATTTTTTATTAGTTACTTGCTTACTTATGGCTGTAATGTTTCTAGGATTACATGAGAGAATTTGAAAACATCTTTTTCCTTCGAAATTGCCTACATATATTTAATGAATAAATAATTAGTTAGAAACTAGTTTTACCTAGGACTATTTTTTGCCGTACATTAACTTTTTGTATTTACTTTCTGATTTGAATTATTTTCTATGGATATGTTACTGTAATATATTTCAAACTTTTCCTTTAAATACTGTAATAACAAGAAAGTTCGATAACTACTTTTCATTATTAATTCGTTTGAGTACAAAAAACACAAATAATTTAAATTTTAATAATAATTCGACAGACATCAAAATTATATCTCTTGAGATACAAAAATTAATACAACTAAAAATTTTGTTGATTTTGTTTTATTGGGTGGAAAAAAGGGAAAATATTTTTATTTTTCATTTTACGAGAAATAGGCATTCTTGATTAAAATTTTTGCTTGTCTTTAAAATGCGGTTGGAATGGAGAACAGTCATCTTGCATGTACAGGGTGATCAGAAAATCGGTAAATCGGTCAAGAATAAACTACCTTTGTTTTTAACAATACAGAAATATGTTATTAAGGAAAGTTGCTTAGAATTAAAATTTATATTACAATTTCAATTTGTATATGAATCGGCCTACTTTGGTAGAAACGGAGAGGAAAAAATGTTTTATTGTACAATTTACAAGCTAGAAGGCATTCTCGATTTTTGCTTGTTTTTAAAATATATTTAAAATGTTTTTAAAGACAAAATTTTAATCAAGAATGTCTTTTTCTCGCAAAATGATTAAAAAATTCTTATTGTCCGTTCCTATCAAAGTATGCCGATTCATACACAAATTGAAATTATAATATAAATTTGAATTCTAAGCAACTTTTCTTAATAACATATTTCTGTATTGTTTAAAACAAAGGCATATATTCTTTCGATTTTTATATTTACCAATTTTCTGATCACCCTATACATATAAGATGAAAGTTCTCCATGCCACCCGCATTTTAAAGATAAGCAAAAATTTTAATCAAGAATGCCTTTTTCTCGTAAAATGAACAATAAAAATGTTTTACTGTCCGTTTCTATCAAAGTAGGCCGATTCAATATAAATTAAAATTATAATATAAATTTCAATTCTAAGCTACATTCCTTAAGAACATATTTCTGTATTGTTAAAAACAAAGGTAGTTTATTCTTGAACAGTTTTTATATTTACCGATTTTCTGTTCACCCTGTACATGCAAGATGAAAATTTTCCATGCCAACCGCATTTTAAATACAAGCAAAAAATTATCAAGTATGCGTTTTTTTTCGTAAAATGTTAAATAAAAATATTTTCCCTCCTTTCCACTCTAACCGTGGACACACTGTAGATTTACTTCGAATTATTGAAATTAATACATATTTTCAGCGTTTAATCATTTAGTAATGATGCCTTTTTATATACGTGATAACTCAGAATAATCCGGCAAATCAATTATTTTATTATTACTTCTGATAGTAATTACTAACTAATTGGCATCTAATTCAAAACAAGTAGAAAATAATCTGTTAGTAACTTAAGTTAAATAAAAGTGAACGTTTTTTTGTATCACTGGAACCAATACTTTTTAAATTGTTTGCGAAGAGACCATTAATTAATAATTGATTAATAATATGACGCAAGTATAAATTCACTTGAGAAAATTAATTAATTTAGATTTTGCGAAGACTGGCACATTAATCTAGCATGGCTGAAGACTGGGATCCAGATAACATGGAAAAGTTGAAAGGTAGTTGCATTTATTATTTGATTTATTTTTTTCAGTTGATAGAAAAGGCTTAATTTCAACGAATCCTATCGTCAGAATCAATACGAATATGTAGAAAAAAAAACAGACTCTTGAATAGGCAACAGTTTACAGCAAAAAATTATGTAAATCCAAATAGATATTAGTTATTATTTTAAATATGTATATTTTACTTTTTAGATGACTGCTTGAAATTTGTGAGGATATTGTTTATTGACTTTTATGGACACAAGTATACTAAAATATGTACTTTCATATACTTGGTATTTCATGTGCCAATATGGATTGAACAATATTATCAGTACTTTAAAACTTTTGATCTTTTAATGGTGGCACAGTATGGCCCAGGTTCATTTATACTTTTATTCGTAAGTATCTTTAGCGTATCATTGATGGTGACCGTTCTTATAGTACTACGTACCTTTGGTCAGAGAAACACATCTTTTGGGAAAAATAACTATTTGTGGTCTCTGATGATTAAGGGTAATGATGTTTGTTGTAGGCATTTATATCAATGTTACTACCCACAATATGTGCAAAGAACGTGCGACTGTTCTTTTGGTATCAGAAAAAACTTTTCTGGTCTTTCAACACAGTGAGCGAGGAACTTAGAAGAACTATGTTCTATGAGGTATATTACGTATATCGCAACAATTAATTTAACCCTTGGGTTATTGACTTACGTTGCAGTTATTATGAAAGGTACAAGAGATAACAACTGGGAAGACATATACCAAATAACTTTCATTAAAAAACATTTTCCTCGTTACTCTGGTATACTTATAGTAACATTTTATGCCAGTATAAGCTACTTGATTCTTTCA